GGGTCCAGACACAGCACTGTTGACTGGCAGACTCTTTCCAGTTTACAGTCTATGTTCTAACAAGTCAGAGTTTAGTACACACAGAAGGAACAAACTGATAAAAAAAAAAAAAAAGCTGGCAACTTGGAAGAAAGGTAGAGTACATGAACAAACATTTCACAGGAAGGGAGACCGGTTAAGCCAACAAACTCGTGCAGAGATAACCAGGATATACAGATTACCACGGCATTTTACAACTGGGTTTCAAACATTTTTAAATTTTGGAAGACGTGGGCAGGAATTCTCCCATGTTGTCTTGGGGAGAAAAGCCAGTTTAACTACCTGAGAAACCCAGTATTCCTGTTCCTAGGCATATGACCTAAAGAATCTCTCTCATGGGGGATGTGAGAGGTCACCTGACGGCCCACCATGCTGTGGGAAGGCCATACAATCATGGAGGGAGCACCGACTGATGAAGGGACATGCTCCGTGTGTACAGAAAGTTCACCACGAACCTGTTGGGATATACGCCAGCACAGATCAAGAAAAAGAAAAAGTAGGTGCTGCAAAATCGAAAATATGAAAAAAAAATCATTATTGACCCAAACTATCCTTCCACAAAACAGATAAAACACCAAACATTCAAAGGATGGAATTCTGTATGCAGCAGCTAAAATAACAAACACATTCACAGGCAGCAACACAAAATTTCATAAGCAAAGCATCGAGCTAAAATAAAAACTTAGAAAGATTTGTGTAAAACCGCCATTTCTGTGGGGTTAAAATATGCAAATAAGAAAATAAAGGCTATGGGAACATAAAGAAATTAAAAGCATCACACCATTCCCGACAGCAATTATCTCAATCTAGGTGTGGTGGACGCCTCTGAGAAGGAAGCAGAGTGGTGGGAAGACGGGGCAGAGCCCGCTGGCATTTGGTCCTCTCTGTTCTATATGTGTGTGTGTGTATAGATTTATATGTACTTATATGTATATACATATATAGATCCATCCATACATTCTATTTAAAAATAAAGTCAGTCACGGTGCTTGCCACCAAGCCAGTGTTGGAATCTACAGAGTTTAAAGATGAACTGATACTACAAGTGTTTCTCTGACCCTAACCTTCCCCCATGTATTAAAAAAATATATAATGAAAGTTTTAAGTAAGTAAAATGAAGCCGAAGTAAATACAGCAGAACTGTGGGTATCGCTGAAATGATTTCTTCTTTGTAGCTTCCAGTATGCTTTAAATGATTTTGCGTAAAGAATGAATGACCCTAGAACTGTAAAACTTCTTTTCTCCTAGTAAGTCTGATGATAGAATTTCTAATTAAATGCTAAGATATCAATAAAATGTAATCACAAGAATTGTTCAAGTGAGGAGTGGTGGTATGCACCTGCAAATCCAAACCTCAGAAGGCAGGAAGGTTGCTGGCTCAGAGCTAATCCTTCTCAGAACAAGCAAAAACAAGGTCCAACTTCTCATTGTGAAATATATTTCAGTTTTAAGTATATGTCCATATGGTAAGTAAATGAATGAAGCACTTACACATAAATTATAAGTACCCTAACCACCACATAATACATACATACACACAAACATACACACACACACACACACACACATATAGTATAAATCTATAAGTCTGTGGGGAAAGAATTGGAGAACAATTTAAAAACAAACTCCTGAACTTTAAAGTTACAAAAGTCTTTGAGTGAAGTGTCTCTGAAATTTTTATGTTTTAGACTTGGTTTAATGGATAAAGGAGTTGTTTAAATAAATATGTATGAACTTCATAGAAAATTTTGACTTTGGTACTAATTCAGAAGTGCAAATTTAACCAAACAGAACTCTTGAGAGGCAGAGGAAGACAGAGCGGCCCTGTCTTTGGGTGTCCCTTCTGCTAATACGCTTCTACTGAATGATCAGGCTAAACAAACAGGCAGACAACAGAATGACTTGGGCCAAATCACTATACACACCCAACTTTTAAGGGCTGCAGCAGTCACAAGTCTTGTGTGGGGGGGGGGGGGGGGGGGGGCGCAATCCTCTCCTGGTCCTTTAATTAAGGCGGTGCTTCGAGAACTCAGTTGTTCCGTTTGTGTCTCAAATCAATCAGATGGAATTCACCTTTACTGCGCTTGAATCCTGATAGCCCGGCACACTTGATAGGTAATTCAATCGTGTCTGGCGTAGACGCACACAAACTCAAATTAGCTACCGAAAGAACTCAGCTTCTCAGACTTAGCTGTGGTTTTCCACTTTTGTGCAAGAGCTGAGCTTCACCAACTGGCTAGCTGGAGGCGTTATTAAAAATTTAGTGACAGAAACAAAGGTGTGCTGGGTGTCTCTTGTTACCCTTTCTACGGTTACCCCGGCAGACAAAAGGCATGGAGCCCACCTCATGAATAATGCGACACGGAATATTCACAATCCATTTTTAATGGAGCCAAGTAATAACGTTAAGAGAGATATTTGCAATCTTCAAATTTCACAGGGCAACAGGCACAGTAATTTGTTTTGATTCTAAGCCGAGGGATATTGAGATAAATATTTTCCCATTTTAAAAAAAAAGCCAAAATTATAGTGTCTAGGTTAAGTTGAGGAGGCAGAGCAGCAGAATTGCCAGTTCAAGCCCAGCCCAGCCCGAGTTACTCAGCAAGACCCTATCTCAAACAAACGACAGAGAGAGAGAGAGAGAGAGAGAGAGAGAGAGAGAGAGAGAGAGAGAACACAACTCCTAACAACATAAGCATGAGAAAAAAATGGAAGTAGAGCAAATATTCCAGATGTCACCAGGCAAGATGGGGAGGAGACAGAACCCGTAGGTTTCAATCAGTTCCACTCCCCTGTGTTATAATTTTACTTTCCAAGCAGGTTGGAACCAACAGACCAGTGTACACACTGACTTGTGAGTAAAGTGTCTTCAGCAAGGGCTTCGAGTCCCCCACCCTTGGATTCTTCATCACCCACAGTTTCTGAGAAGCCACCTTCTCCAACCTCATTCAGTGGACTCTGACCGAGAGTAAACTGACTTGGAAAGACTGGGTCTTAGAAAGCAAGCAAGGATGACCAACTGCTGAGCGAAGCATCACCCAAGACCCCTGACCCTCCCACTTAGAAAGTCTCGTGTGATTTCTGGCTGCGGGAGGAAGCGGCTGGCTCTCCATCACCTACTGCTGAATGAAGCTCCATGGGACTTGTTCTCTTTGCTGTGTCTCCAAATGCATGCTGGGTACTGGGATGGCGTGTGGGAAATTGACTTGCATGGAAATGGACAGTGTTGGTGGTTCCCCTGGGCCACGTGGACTGAAGCTCGGCTCTGACTGGAAGATTCCAGAGCATAGGTAGTGGGAAAAGCCAGGACCTTATTCTGCTTCCAGTCTTTTAAAGGACCTACTGATGGGAGAGAGACAGAATAACCCTTTGCTGGATAGTTTTATGTCAAGTTGACATCACTGGAGTTGTCTCAGAGGAGGGAACCTCAACTGAGAAAATGCTTCATAGATGGGACTGTAGGCAAGCCTGTGATGTATTTTCTTAATTGGTGATTGATGGAGAAGGGCCCAGCGCTAGGCTTGTGGTCCTAGGTTCTATAAGAAGGCAAGCTGAACAAGTCATGATGGTCAGGCCAGTAAGCAACATTCCTCCAAGGCCTCTGCATCAGCTCCTGCCTCTATTTGAGTTCCTGCCTTGGCTTGGAATATGTAAGCCAAAAGAACAAATGAGCCCTTCCCTCCACAAGCCACTTTTATTCATGGCATCTCATTACAGCAATAGAGACCTAAGACAAGCCCGGATCCCCACCTCATCCTTCTTCACACATTTTAGGCTTGTAATTTGCCTTCAACACAGCGGTCAGCCAATTCTTCTCTCTCTGTCCCTCCCTCCCTTCCTCCCCCCTCCCTCTCCCTCTCCGTTCCAGTCTCCACGGAATCTGAGTAGTCAGAATTAGACTGGGTGGTCGGACCACAGCTATGTTTCCAAGAAAACTAGGAAGTGAAAATATTTGCCAAGTTACAGGATGCATCAGTGACAGAGCCCACAATGGACTCAAATCTGGGCTGGAAAGATGGCTCAGAAATGAGATGACCCTCGCAGGGCACCTGGGTTGGGCCCAGCACCCATGTCAGACAGTTCACAACTGCCTAAAACCAACCTCAAGATCTCCAACACCCTTTTCTGGCCACCCCAGGCAGTGCGCACTCATGTACATACATGAATAACACATGCAGAGACACACATACAAATAAAAAATATTTTTAAAACACGCGGATCTCTAAATCAAAGGCCTATGATTTTCCATCTAGAAGCCTATGTCCTATTTTTTTAAGTGGAATTCTCAGAGGGAAGAACTGGGGTCCCTATGGGACCATCCAGGACTCTATAAGGCTAGGAGCTGAGTTTTACACACCTCCTAAGTTTTTTATTTAAAACATATTAGCCAGGTGTCATGGCACACACTTTTAATCCCAGCACTTAGGAGGCAGACAGATCTCTGAGTTGACTATATAGATATAATGAGACCTTGTTTCAAAAACAGGAAAGTTAATCGATTGATTGATTGATTGGGGACTGGAGAGCTATAATCGATTGATTGATTGATTGATTGGGGACTGGAGAGCTAGCTAGCAGGTTGGAGTGCTTTCTGCTCTTCTGGACGAACTGCGTTTGGTTCTGAGCACACATGCCAGGCAGCTACTCATATTCACTCCAGTGCTAGGAGATCCCATGCCCTCTCTAGTCTTAGTGTGTACGTACACTCGTGTGTGCATATCTGTGTGCAAACAATGACACACAGACACGTAACCAAAAATAATAAAAATAAATCTTTTTAAAAGGAATAAATATCTCTGAGGAATAAAAAGAAAGGGGAAAATATGGAAACTTGAGCATTTGGTGTTCACTCTGGTATTCCTTGGCGGTCCCCCAGTTCCAGCTTCCCCCACAGGAAAAAATAAAAAATAAAAACACCAGTGGCCTTCCCCTGAATTTCTGACCTGATGAAAGGCAATTTGTAACAGTCTTAATACTTTATTAATTTAAAACAACATTCTAATAAATATAATCTAACATACATAATGCACTCAAGAAGATTTAGAAACATTTACAAAACCTCACAGTAGAAAGAATACTTCTCTCCTAGATGGTACACAAGGGGCAGGAGTTGAGGTTCAATGCCTTTGCCCCACATCTACCAGCCCAGGCTGGTAAAGGATCCACTTAACAATAAAGACTGGATTTGCCCATGAATTTTTTAAATAATCCTCTTGTTGCTTTTTGTTTAACTTGCGAAGCCCCCAAAGTGTCAAGTGGGAAGTCTGAATATTTGCATGGTCTTTTCAGAACTCCCTTGGAGGAGGAGGACGCGAGCTCTAGCTACTTTGAAGTTCAGCCGATAACATTTGAGAGGCAGGGGTGGTTGACTTCAATCTCTGGCTCCCCAGTTCCTTACTCTGATAACCTGCGGTCAATAAATGCTTGCTGAGCAGATGAAGGGCATCTTGTCCCCAGGAACTGACCCCACAGTCCCACCTCCTGGGACCTCTGACTCCCTCTCATCACCAAGTCCACTTTTTTTTCTGCTTTTTTCTGACAAACTTGACGATAGTGCCTCTGCTGATGTCAGAGGAATGAAGCCCCTTCCCTAAACCAGTGTCTTCAGAAGAGTAATGCTCGTCCTTTCTAAATAACGCACCAGACAGGGCCCAAAGTTTACCAGTTCTTTCCTGCCTGTGAGACAGAGCAGAAAAGCGAAAGACTGGGAGGTGCGAGATTTCATCGGATCCGCATCTTCAGACAATTCTGTGGTTGTGGCTCCCACTCTGGGCTGACCTCTGCAAAGGGAGTTCAGTCTCCAGCAGCTTTGGGAAGGAAGGTGAAGGGGGAAAGCCATAGTGAGCTTTGCTCACTGGACGCAGGGTCTGAGCAGGGCCGGGAGGCAGGCAGTCCTCTACAGTAGTGTTCGCAGCTGCTGACGCAGGCGGCCACGGTGCTCATTTGAGTCCATGCTGCGTCTCCCGGTGCCGCCTGAGATCCACCTTCCTCTGGAAGCCCTTCCCACACAGGTCGCAACCGAAGGGCTTGAAACCCGTGTGCTTTCTGCTGTGGGTAATGAGGTTGGAGCTCTGACTGAACGCTTTGCCGCACACCTGGCATTTGTGGGGCTTCTCACCTGCAAGGATGGAAGACCAAGGGCAGGAAGTATGAGCCTATGATAAAGCTGGGAGGGACCCGTTGCTACCCGCACACTCCTTCTAGCAGCTGGCTAAGACCTTCAAGACTTTGGAGGGTGATGGGCTGCATCACGAACCAACTCATGACCTGCAACTTGGTACCAGTAAAACACGGGTGCACCAGGTGGAAGGAGACTTTTTGAGTGGAGGCCTCCCAGCCAAAGGTCTCAAACGGTTTCCTGCTAAACGGAAACTGAGCAAAGGCCACGTGCCCTCCCCAGCTGAATCCACCCCGGAGGACTCGCCTGCCTGACTTTTAGAAGCACAGGGCCCCCAGCAGATGTTCGGCAGGAGGTGGGAGGGGCCGTTCTACAGACCCTATGACAGCTTTCGTCAGAGGAAGTTTTCAAATCTGAGTTTCCAAGTGGGTGTTGTTTTGTGTGGCCAGTGAAGCTGTCTTCTTTTCTCGCTCTTGAAGCACACAGGTTTGTCCAATGTCTTAATTTTTTAAAATCCACACGAGGGCCACAAATAACTTCTTAAGGTTGTCTATTCTTTTCTATCTTTACTTTCTTTCTTCCTCTCTTTGAAGTTTTAAATCACAGGATTCTTAATATGCCAACAACTCTTCACTACAGATCAGCAGATAACAGGCACGCATGGGAGGGGAAATTTTAAAAACAGGTAAAAGGAAGAAACCCAACAGCTTTTGTCTTTCCCTGTCTTGTGAACTGATTAAAATTGGGGTAAACAAACACATTCCCAAATAGTCCCTTCATGACTCTAAAGTTGGGAATTGGCTTGGGGGAATAAAACAAGTAAACAAGCAATCAAAAAAGTGCCTGTCTGTCTGTCTGTCTGCTTATTCTTATGGAACCTCCTGTGTATTCTTTTCTCTCCCTTCACACTTAAGATTTCCTGACAAGGACTCACCCAGCGAAACTCGTCCTATCCCTCAGAGTCAAACATGTCTGAGGAATGAATTCTAGCTATAATATAAATGTTTAATAAAGGCTTGAATGTGTCGTTCAGTCAAGATTCTAGTTGCATTTTGATAAGTGTCTTGAATAACCTATAAATGAAAATTTTGGGACAAAGGAAGAATTTTTTTTTCTGAGTTTTCTGATACAAATGTCTACACTGTTCACAAACATTTAAAACATGGATTGTGGGCTCCTGGAAGGCACTGTGATTTTTTTACATATTTACTTACCGATTTTTTTTTAAAACAGGCTATTACTATACAGCCCTAGCTGGCCTATCGTCCACTACGTAGCCAAGGCTAGTATCCATGCCCAGGGATCTGCCTCCTGTGCGCCACCACACCCAGCTGTGATTTGATTTAAAGCGATGTTCATGTGCTCCAGTAAGGTCAGAGATTTTGGTCTCATGTAACCGTCATGTTGGCTATTACAGGAAACGTTCTTAGGGGCAAGAGAACTACTTAGTTCACAAACTTCTACACTAACCCCACTCATCTGCAGCTGAAGTGTTGAGGAAGGAGTCCCAGGCTGGAAGCTAGAGCACTGGGATTTACTCAAACTGACTCTGATAGATCGCTCGATGTCTGGAAATAAAAGAATCTCATTTTACTGTATGGAGCAGCAGGAAAACAAATGGGAATGGACAATCTGAAATATTTGGGTATTTTTAAAGCATTGTAAGAGGTTAGGAATAGTCACAGTTAGGGAACAAAATTGTTAATGTTTTGAAAAGAACAATAAATAAGAGAAGTTTCCAACACTAACCAATTCCCACAACTGAAAGTGTAACAGGTCGAGACCACATATATTTGAGACCTCAGACCATCAGACCCAAAGCTGAGCCCTGTGTGACCCTAGATAAGTTATCTGATCCTTCTATGCTTCCATTGCCTCATCTCTAGAATGGCACTAAAGAGTAGTTCCTGTCTCTTGGAGTTGGGAACACAGGCTTGGCAAAACGCTTGGTAGCATTTGCCTTCCTTTTTCTACTCAAACAAAATAAACTCTTATAAAAACGAAGTATAGGAGCCACACATGAATTCTGAGGGCTGTAGTAAAACCTGGGAGGGCTCTGATGTTAACATAGAGGAAGATAATCCTTCAGACCCAATAACAAGGTCCCTCTGGGGGAAGAACTCTTGCACCACACTGGAGCCAGAATATCAGAGGAGAGTCACGTTGGCTCCCAAGCGTCTCCTACAAGCCCAGCCCCTTCCAGTCACCTGTGTGGATGAAGGTGTGTTTCTTCATGTCGGACTTCTGGTGGAATCTCTTGCCACAGTACTGACAGGGGTAGGGTCGCGTGTCCGAGTGAATGAGCAGGTGTGTGGACAGCGTGGACGACCGCTTGAAGCTCTTGCCACAGATCTTACAGTCAAAGCTTCGTTCCTGCAGAGGGGACAGGAAGGGAGAGGGAGAAATGCATCGCTCCTCCCTAGGGTGCCGCCCTCAATACCAGGGACAAATCTATCCGAGACAGAGCCCTCTTCTTTCTACCTACTCTGAGCCAGAGTCCACTTCTCCCTTCCTCCGTTAGTTTCAATCCCCGCCCATCCTTCAACACCTCCTTATTAACATGTTTTCTGCCAAAACACTTTTCAGCCACAACCCTCCACACCCCAGGGCAAAAGCATAGCTCCACCCTGCATTTTTGACACCCATTGGCAGATTTCTTCACCCTCCTCGAGATGACCCCCCACCCTAGTCACTGTGGGTTTTCAAGGAGATGAGCTGCTGTCCTGTCCAATTGTGTAATATTTCTCTTATCTCCCTCTCTTTAATCACCACACAGGCGTCCGTCAAGGACCTGGGGACTGCGTGAGTCTCAGGTGTCGGAAGCCTTGGACGTAGGCAACAATTACTTATAAACGAATAGCTCAGCACGTACACTGGATGCTGTAGCTGAACTGAGACCCTTCCGTGCCAGTCAGGAAGGATGAAGCGAACACAGACAGTAAAGAAAAGGCGGCAACAGCAATCCTTCCTCCTGTCCAACAGAACTCCACCGCTGGAAGCTGACTGTGGGGCAGCGCCACAGTCTAGGATTGCTGTAAACCCCGGCCCTCTATCACCCACGTTTCTCTACACACCTAAATCAGAGCAAGCAGAAGGGGCACCAGAAGGAGTCCAGAGGCAATGGGAAAGTGGCTGGTGCTGCATGGACACGGGACTGAAAGGTCCCCGGGCAGCGTTAGGCCTCCAGAGCTCAGCTTACCTGCGAGTGTACGGCCTTGTGCTGCTCCAGGCTCACCGCGTGCCCGAAGGTCTTGCCGCACATCTCGCACGCGAATGGTCTCGTGCCGCTGTGGGACCGGCGCACGTGCACCTCCAACCCGTGCGGTGTGGAGAACACCTGGGGGCAAGTGGGGCCAGGGAGAAGGCCGCTGAGGGGGGTCTCGGGGTGTGGACGCTGGAGGATCACGGGCTGGGGGCGCAGGCGCAGGGCTGAGAAGGCCAGGTGCGCGGGAACCTCACCTTGCTGCATTTGATGCATTTGTAGGAACCACCGCCCAACAGCAGGCGGGTGCACAGCAGTTCTGACTCCACCTTGACGCCCACGCTCTTGTCTGCGTGGATCTCGTGGCTGCGATCTTGGTACAACCTGCCTGCTGCTGTGTTCGGCCGTTCGTAGAGCCCGGCCGCCGCAGGCCCGAAGTCTCCGTAGAGCCCCAGGCCAGAGTCGCCGGTGGCTCCGCCCGCAGCACCACAGGTCCCGGGTGGCCCCGCACCGGCTCCGCCCGCAGCCGGCTCAGGGCCGTACAGCGGGGCCGAGTGGCCCGGCTCCCCGCCGCGCTCGCAGAAGAGGCTCAATCCCGCGCTGCGCTCCAGGGCGGTGCACTGCCGGTAGCTCTGCACCAGGTGCCGCAGGTCGGACCCGGCGAGGCCGCTCCAAGCGTAGGGCTTGAAAGGCAGGGTGTAGGGTTGAACTTCGTCCAGAGACCGGCACAGCGACTTCTCAGAGGCTGTGGAGGCACAGAAGGCCGTCGGGTCAGGTTCGAGGCTGCTGGGCGGAGCAGTGATCAAGGGTCCTAGCTAGTTAGAACGCTCAGAATCCAGGACACCCTGGGGAAAACTCAGGCAGGCCCGCGGTACTTCCCGGGCCTAAGGCAGGACAGCATAGTGAGGCTTAAAATGGCATAGAATGAGGAGATCGGAAAATTCGATTGGTTGGTTCTCTGGCTGGACCCTCCATCCCCCAACACCTGCCAGTCCTGTTGGGAAAGACGCCTAGAGCTTAGGCCTAGGGTCCTGCTACAAGATCCTGACCTCTCCTGCTTCCTTCAAATTCTCCACTTAATTCTTTTTCTTTGCGATAAATAATGAAGGGTCAAACAAACACACTTTGGATCGCGGCTGTCTAGAAATATCAGACTGAACAGACTGAAATGGCCTTAAGATCTCTCAAAGCTGTGAAGTCGTCTAATGTGTTCAGCAAGGGGCAGCAGGCAAGGACTCGAAGTACACCCAGACCTGATACATTTCTGATAAAAATTATTTTACAGTTAAGAGTTAGCCACCACCTTCGGGAGAACTCTCCTTCCCCCCACACACGTCAATTTTGCTGAAACTGGCTACTGGATGGATATGAGTGAATGCGCTGCACACTCCACTGGGGAGGGGGACTGCTCTGAGAGAGTCACACACAGCCAGGAAGAACCCTTTGCTCGCAGGAGCGGATGAGCTATCTTTTAAAACCAGAACTATGACCTGGAAATAAACGACCATTGTCAGGATTTGTATTGATCTGCTCCTTTCTTGCTTTTGCCAGGACCCGAGATACTCCTGCTCAACCCTAGTCACGTGGTTTGCAGGAAGCTCGGTTGCTCCCTGGAAATGAACCCCTGCATGCTGGCCCCTGCATGCTGGGTTTTCCTAGCAGAGGGGGGAAATGAAACTTTTGAATACAGAGTCAAGGAGCTGAGATTTTCCTCCGCAACCTCGCTCTCCAGTGTGGCACCCGGGTCTGTCCGGCGCAGACTGCCAGGTCTTATGTTTGTGGTATTTGTGTCTGCGTCCTGAATTCTGGGCTCTGACACTTTCTAAACAATGAATTTTGGTCAGAAAAAGAAATGTCAGCCAGATGAGAGGACCGGCTCGTTTGTCGCACCTGCCAGTTCCAGGCAACGAATTAAGGGCCAGCCTGGAGCTAACCGCCTTGGAAGGAGGCAGAGGACACTTAGAGCAAGATGTCCAGTACGATGAGGCTTGGTGCCTCCCCCTGGACTCCGTCCCCTTAGAAACCTGCTCCCTAAACTGGCACTCCGCTTCCCTTTGTACTGCGGGGTCCCCGAATCTCTGCCACAAGACCTCGAAAACGGGTCCTTACCTGGAGACACCGAGGGAGAAGGGGGCCTCCAGAAGTCCTCGAACTCGGAGCTCGGATCACAAACGCTGCCTTCGCAGCTGTCGGGGGTCGCGGAGGCTTTGTCATTAGCCTCGGTTAGTTGAGAGTCGGGGGACAAACGGTCTCGGGGCGCCGTCTTCGCCTCGCCTGCATTCACAGGGTCTACGGAGAGGAGTCAGAAGGGAAGTCAACCTTAGCCTGGCTGGAGTGGTTCCACTGTGTCGCCTGCGTCCTCCTCTCTCCATTCAGACCGAGCCGGGAGCCCTCCCAGATTCAAGGGTCTACTACGGGGCCGGTAGGGGCATCTCTGGATAGCTCGGCAGAACCGGAGCACTAGGAAACAAACAAAGCACCCGAGGGGCTTAGGGTAGTCTCCCCTAGTTCTAGGAAGCGAGGTGGCTTGGAGCAGAGTCGGCGTCCCTGCCCCGCCCGGTCCCTGCGCGCCTCGCACCTGCTCTTCCCGGCGCGGGCACAGTCTCCAGACGGAGGGAGTAGTCTGGCCCCGGGGAACGCGGTTGGTGGTAGCTGTGCGCCTTCTTGCTCTTGACCAGGAAGGAGCGCGGCATGATGGCCAGCCTCTGGATGAATGTTTGGATCCTCAGCCTGAGGTTACTCCAAGTTCTGAGAGGAGGCAAGAACCGGGTGGAAATGCGGGTCAGCACCGATGGCGGCTGTAGACCGCACCCAGGCCAAGGGAGAATACGGGCCAGGGAGGAGAGAGGGAGGTCCGCGGGAGGAGGGGCTTGGCCCCCAGGCGCCGCGCTCACCAGGTGGCACTCGGACAGGTGGCGCGAGTCCGGGCCTCCGCTGCCACTGCCACGGCTCAGTGGTAAAACCTGTCCCCGAGATCTGGCTCAGGTCCCTTTCCTCTGCCCTGCCCACGCCCTAGCCCCTCCCCTTCCCCAGCAAAGCTCTCCCATCACTCTCCAGTCCACAACTGGCCCGTTATCCCAACTCAACCCTGAAATGCCCGCCTGGTCGCTTCTGGACTGAGGAGAGCGAATGGGCCGCGTTGGATTAGACTAGTTTAGGTGGTCAGAGTGCATCAGTGGTTGGGACTCGGAAGGGGCATGGATGGAGTCAAGACCTCCAAGAGTCCCGGGACAAACAGAAGCGAAAGAGGAGCATACTAGGCAGAACTGAAGGACTGGTTTGCCCAGGGATTGTGTGCAGCTGAGGCTGGAGCAGAGAGAGGCAGGAAGCCAGAGGGACAGGAAAGTGAGGGGTGGGGAAGGTGGCAAAGGACCAACACTTGCCCCAGGAGAAACGCCCTCTGGAAAAAGTTAACCTGGAAGACTGCGGTGCCGGCACTGGCCAGGGCAGTGACCGCTGTGAAATAGCCCAGACCCGGGCCTAGCTTCGGCAACTATGTCCCGGGAAGAAGTATTTTTCCGATCTGCTCACCAATGATCTTGTCCTAAGGAACTTGAGGCTGAACTGAGGGTGCACAGACTGCCAAACACGCGGCGCCCAAATCCGTGGAGCAGCACCGGTTTAGGGGACCAGTCAGATGAAACCGGAGCGCGTGCGAGCGATCAGTGGCCAGGAGGCCGGGGGTCCCCGGAGCCAGCACGGCTGAGAGCTGGCGTCGCTCTCATTAACCCCCAATCAGTTCACCTAATCTCGGGTCGAAACCTGACCCCGGCGCGGAGGCGGGGCTGCTACTGCGTCCCAGCTCCAGGTCGGCTGGGGGGGGGGGCGACACTGAGGAGGCATACGGTTTAACGAATGTGTGCCTGCCTCCGAGGTCCAAGGCGATGGGGGTCGTTCCCAAGCCGGCGGGAACGGCTGTGGCGGGCTCAGGGACCAGGGCTCAGGGAAGTCGAGGCCGACAAACACCTCTGATCCTTGGTCTTGGGGCGGTTTAGACTGCGGAACAGGAGCTGCTTCGCTCCCAGGGCACAGTACAGAGCACACCTGACTAGGGATCCCTGCTCCAGATCCCCAACCCTAGTGTGTGATCTTCCCCGGAGGGATGGAAGAAAAGTATGCTGGAAATTTCTGCAGGAGACCAAGGCTCCAGAAGGCCTGGGGTCGAGCACGTCACACTCCTTGGTCAGGTTCGGCTCCCAGGACCCGGGCTCTGCCTCTTAAAAGCCCCTGACTGACTGTACAGCCAGAGGCTCCAACCAAGAGACAGTTCTTAAAGCAAGCATGAAAAGAAAGAAAACAGAGCAAGGGTCCTGGGGGCCTTAGTGAGGCCCAGGCCGGCGTTGGCCAGAAACAAGACCCGTGGGAAGCAGAAGGGCTGCATGATTCCGCGGTGGGTCGGCGCGTCAGCAACCACGCGGGACACGGTAGACACGTCCTCACTCCAGCCACAAACCTACGCCCCTCTAGCACCCTGGAGGGCTTTGCTGGTTCCGGGTAGGAGGGGTAGGGGGGGGAATGGCAAGGCCCAAGGCCCGGCGCGTGGGAAGGCAACCTCGTGCTGCAGCTGGCGTCCAGGGGGCGGGGCGGCACGCTCCTGGCACTGCGGCCCGCCAGGCTTCCCCTGGTCATCTGAGGCCGGGAATTAGGGACCTGAAGGTAAAGGCGCTCAGGAGCAGTATTCCAGAGCCCACCAGATGGTTCCTTCCCACGTGGATCCCACTCCCTAGCTAACCTCCAAACCTTGTGCCCCCTATTCCAGATCTTTCGCTGCACCAGTTTGGTGCCTTCAGAACCCAGCCCCCGGAGCTCTGCAGCAGGTGGGGACCCGCCAGCGCCCTCGGGACGTCCCCTAAGTGGCAGCGTCCTCCTACCAGTCCACCCCCGCCTGGGCGGGAGGCACAGCAGTTTCAGCAAACCTACCTGTGGGGTCAGGGCGCGGGCACCGAGCTCTGAGAGTGTGCAAACTGAATCTTGCTTTCGGGAGAGACTGATCTGTCTTTCTGACTTTTTTTTAATCTCCTTCTGAGCTCAGCCCCCAAAACCGCAAACTTCACTTCCTGAGCGTTAGAGGCGCTCGCTAGCCCTCTCAGACCAATCCCCATCCCCCCCAGTGGGGCCGATGGGCCACGAGCCTCCTTTGCGCAAGGGGTCAGGAGGCGACGCGGGGGGGGGGGGTGCATTCTTTTGGCGAGCTTCATGGGCACCCCTCAGCAGTCCTCCCCAATATGTTTGTCTGTGGGACCGGGGGCTATCTATGGAGGACCCGGGAGGTCTGAGTACCCAACACTAGAAATAACTAGAAAGAAAATCGAAGTATTCTTGGCTCCTGGAGACTTCCGCAGCGAGAAGTCACAGATTCAGGACACAGATTGACGGGAGCGCCGGGTACGGGAGGGGGGGGGCACTCGGCTCGCACGAGGTCTCTCTGGCCCTCTGGCCGTGGGCACCCCAACCCTGTACCCTGCTTAGGCAGCGTCGCCCCCGGATCGCGGCCGTGAATCACCGGACCCCGGTGCCGCCGGCCTGGAGCCCGGCTGGTGACCACCGCGTCCGCAGAGCGAAACCTGCGCCGCGGCCCCGAAATAGCTTGTTATGGAAACACTTGAGGATAAATACGCCCAACGAAGCTGAAAATACCTTGACACCCAATCCCAGAGGTTTGCTCATTTCCCTTCGGATTTAGGTAACGGTTAAATTTGGAAGAGGTGGGCGAGCGCCGACCCGGCGAAGAAGGGCCGGACTGGCGGCGCGTCCCGCGGGCGCCGGTGGCATCGGTGGGCGCGTCCTCCCCGCC